ACTTTAAGAAAATATAGGATTTAAGTAAATATTAAATATAATAGGTAGATATATTAATAGAATTTAACTTTAAGATCTAATACTAGCCTAAGAAACTAGCTATATACCTAGATACTCTCTTATAAAAAGAATAAGATCTCTTATAGGATAGGAGTAATAAATAAATAATAAATTAATTCTAATATATCTTTAAAAAGATTAAAATAAAAACTAGATAGTTATAAATAGATATAGAGGCCCTTATAAGTTTTAAGATATCTATTAATATATTTAAAGATAAAGAGCTATAATTACTTTAGGTTAAAGCTTAGAAAATAGATATAAGTTATTAAGTAATCTTATAGGCTCTATAAAAAAAGGAATATAGACTCTTAAGTAGAATCTAAATTAAAATAAGCCTTATAGAATACTACTTTAATATATAAGGTCTCTTTTACTTCTAAAACTAGATATAAATCTTAAATAGTAAGCCCTTATAGATATATATTATCTAAAATATATATAATTTATATATTATAAGGTATTTAAGATATAATATTATATATATAATCTTTTTATAATACTTCTTTTAACTAAAAGTAACTAAGGATATATAATAATTCTTATAAAACTATATAGTTTATAGATAAAGTATAATATAGTATAATACTAAGTATAGATTATTAAAGCTATTACTAGTTCTATAATAGATTTAGGTAGAAATTTCTATTAATTTTATTATAGACCTTTTTATAAGTAGCCCTTAAAAAGCTATAAACTACTTTATTATTATAGATTAACTTATAAAAAGTATTATTCTTATTATTATAGACTTTATTATAAGTAATATTATAGCCTAAATATTTATAAATTACTTTTATATATATTATAGGCTTTTATTTATAATTATAAGTAACTATAGTCCTTAATTTATAAGTAGTTTTTAAAAGGAAATATATAAAAGATTAAAAATCTAATAATAACTATTAATAGCTTTTTACCCTTAAATAGATAGTATAATAGAATAAGTAAATTAAAAGATAGAATAGATCTTATAAGTCTTTATAGCCTATTTATAAAAAGATTAATCCTATCTCTTTCTAATTATAGCTATTATAATTAATAACTAAAAGGTATTATTAACTAGTTTAGTACTATTCTTCTTTATATATAGGTATTATATTAATCTAATTAAATTAGAAGATAATAGAAACCTTTTAAGGTTATAGAAGTAGTTTTAAATAAATAGGTATAGACTTTATAGAATACCTTTATAAAACTTCTAACTAAGTATAAGTAGTAATAACTACTACCTAAGATAAATAGTAAGAATAAGTAAACTATATATATTAGGCTATATTAGTTTATTATATAAAAGATAAAGTATAATTATACCTATAAAATATTATATCTTTATAGCTATTAAAGAAACTAGATTAGTTATATAGAAAATATATTATTATTAATATTCTATCCCTATATATAATAGAGCTAAGTATCCTATATAGGATTTACCCTATCTTTTATATAAATCTAATATAACTTATAGTATTAGATCCTCTCCCTTCTTAAGTTATAGATAATACCTAACCTCTACTAATTATTATTAATAATAAATTAGAATAGGAAGTTAAAAAGATCCTAGCTATATATATATAAAGGATTAGGAGAAGTTATTAATAGGAAGAATTAGTAAAATAGGCTAGCTTTATAGAATAAATATAGTAAAGGTTAGATAAATTAGAGGATTATACTATATTAGATATATTTAAGGAACGTTATAAGAGCGCGCGAATAAATAATAGCCCCTAAGGAATATACCCTTATATACGTATAGGTACCCTCTATATATAAACGGATACCGCTAGGAGGAGGGGGGTATTATAACGGGCCAGTGCCTAGTTAATATCACATACGTATACGTGACCTTCCTTATATCCCCTTTTATTTACGTTCGACCCCGCCAGCTCCTACTTCTCTCCTTAAGCTTTTAGATAACTGCAAACGGCTTAGTTAGTTTAAATCAAGACTGGCTACGTCCCTTCATAGTACCTCCCCCTAGCCTTAGTATACCTAGAGAATCGGCTATTTAGCTACATACGCAGCCCCCCCGGGGGTATAGAATATACAGATTACTAGGGCATAGAAGAGAAATATGTCCAGATAGACTAGGTAGTTAGTTGAATTAATTTAATGGCGTTATGGTTGAGATAAATGTATTTAAATTTAATAGGTTGGGGTGGGTGTCTAGCCATAGGGTGTGTCTAGTAATGGGGTGAAATACGTTATATTTAATTTAATGGCGGTTTGGTTGAGATAAATACATTTTAAATTAATAAGTTGGTGGGGGTGGCCGGCTCGGTAGTGAAATACGTTATTTATTATATTTATTACCTAATTAGGTACTTAGGGGTTAAGTTAGGTTAGGTTGGGTCGGGGTCCAATCGGGTTCTGGAGAAGCCTATTCATAATTCTGCGGTCATATCATCTCCTACGTTCAGTACCCTATATAATCCATATACTCTATCTACTTTAATATTCGATAATCCTAACGTGAGCGCACCTTTTTCCCTCTAACCAGAGCTACCTGGTAACAATCTTAACAAAGCGGAATATATTTCAACTAGTCGTCGGGGTATTCATCCTTCATGTTACTCACAAACTTCCTCTCCCTCTCATCCCATCGTTTGAAATGCTTACCCGCAATGGCAGTCAAACTACTCGGCAATTCCGTGAAGTGAGGGAGAATTATTCCAATATTCTCCTCGGCCACATACCGGACACTTCGATCCGCCACACTATGCATCCATTGTTAGCCATTAGCCAAGAAAAGGACACAAGCAAAAAATCACCCACAGCACATGATAGAAGCTTTGGTGCCTGCCAGCTTCTAATTGATCGATACCCATTCGTCTCATCCATTGTTCGCCTGCGCCACATTCCGAGTCCCAGCCGGTGATAATAGCCTCGTAATGATAGCGACGATGGCGGAAAACCTGGCCCACCTTGTATTGTATATTTGCATTGCCACCGGTTCGCTTCCGAATCTGCTTTGGGATTTCATCCACAGCCCTCATCACATGAATGCTCTCTAGTATATGCTCATGCTCGAACAGCCCATGAAACAGAGGAGCGATGTACTGCTCGACTAGAAATATATCAGAAGGAAAGTCTGTGGCGAACAGTTCCATGAGCCATGGCAACTGATGGCGTAGATCCATCGGCCTCGAATCACCTGACAGTAGCATCACAGACCAGAGCGCTGCGTACTTTGCGCTCACGGCATCTATCGAGGGGACACGCGAGGTCGGATTTTGGTGTTCGACACGAATCGAGTTCAATATGTTCTTACCACAGCGCAAGATAACGCCAGAAGTCGATGCTTCGCCCAGAGTTGCGGTCTGGTCCATGTTAGGCATGCCCAGAAATGTTAATTGGCTGCGCAGATTTGAGATAGCAGTCTCTCTTGCACCCCGAAACGGGTCCAAGTAAAGGGGCTCCCCTGGCTCCATCCCACCCAAAGCGTTACCATTGATGTCTGAGCCCAGCTCGGGGGTAATGATCACATGCACATGGAACGGAAATCCACAAGGATGGGCGTCTAGGCCCACCCCCTGCGCAACAAAGCAGTATATCGCAGCTGACACCAAGGGTAGAGAGTTGTGCCCTGGATCCTTTAGAGCCAGCCCTAAAAAGTTATGCTCCAAAGAATGATATTCTCGATCTGGATTTATCCCCGTGAGATCATTCGCCCCTAGCCAGGATGCTATGGCTAGTGCTTTCTCGCGAGGGGTGAAGAGGTGAAGATCCGAGTGAGACGCGACAAAGCGATTGAGGATCTCATCCAGAGAGTCTCGTATCTGGATCAGAGTCAGGTATAACGAAAAATTGGGGGGTTAGACTAGGTTAACACCTACTTCCTCCAAATCCCCAGTTCCACTTTCGGGTATAAAGAGATCAAAGCAGGCCAAGGCTCTGTCGAGTGACACGGGTTCTCCGTGTTTGAGTTTCGCCCATTCTGGTATGGCAATGCTTCGGTGCAGGCAAGTCAAGAGCGCGTGGGCATAGTACCTTTTGTGGTCAATTCAAGGGAAACACAAGCCAACTTGCATAGAATTAGTAGCCCACCTTCTGGCCAAATGGTCCTCCCCAGACTCTATCAGACTATATCGCAAAAGAGTATCTTTTGCATCGTATCCCATATCGACAACACGACGAAACTTTTCGATCCGGCCAGTCTGGCTAACAAGAATACTATCAAGAAGTCGAGTGACAGATCGATCAACCTGATACTTGAAGATAAACAGTGCTTTCCAGTCGGTTGAATTCGCCGGGCAGGCAAGCTTCCGGGGCATATCATGTCGCCCATCCCAGAATTTGTAATGTGACTGGCAATGGTGACGCCATAGTAAACGCTCATTCGTTACGTTTTGAAATCGACTGTTGATCTGTTCGACCGCAGCACAGGATTGAGGGGGAGAATAACAAAGAATCGAATGCAGGATCTCGTCTGGAAGATGAATTAAAGACCGAACCATCCCTGAAGGTGGAAGATTGATGATATTGGAGGAAGAAGACAAAGGAGAAGGCAATCAGAACGGAAGAACAGCCGGTTTACATTCCTCTATTAGTGAAGGAGAAGAAACCAAATCAAATATTAGATCAGAGAGTTAGAGGATTATGTAGAAAAACAGGAAATACTATCGTCGAAGAGATTGAGAAGATGTTTCTCCCCGCCTTTATCTCTCTATCAAAGACGCCAAGCCTTGAACTTCATCGTTGCAATGTTTTTTTTTGTTTTTTTTTTGCGAATCTTCTCTTCTTCTCTTCTTCTCTTCTACTTATAGACACCGGTAGACAGTATTCTCGTTTTACTGTCCTAATGATCTTATTAATATATTTTTAATGAATTACTCAAAAAGAGAAGTTGCTTCAAAACAACAGCGGGCAATTATTGCGGTATTCGCCGTATTCGCCGTTTCCCCCCACCACCAACGTTCTTTCTCTCCCTCTTACACGCCATGGGCCAATTCCATTCCACTAGCCAGGCTAGCTCGGGCGCTTCAGAACAATTAGACCGGAAGACCGACTATTATGAGCTGCTTGGTGTAACCCGCAGTGCAACAGACGATGAGTAAGTTCACATAAATATGCGGTTATGGACGTAACTAAAACTTGCCCGACTCTTAGGATCAAAAAAGCATATCGAAAAAAAGCTCTTGTATTGCACCCAGATCGCAATTATGGGAATGTTGACGAGGCTACCAAGCTGTTCGCCGAAATACAATCTGCCTACGAAGTACTAGCAGATCCCCAGGAACGAGCATGGTACGACTCCCATAGCGACGCATTTTTAGGGACCAACGGAAATACCGATGATCAACACTCGTACAATGTTCGAATCACAACAGCCGAAGATATCCTCAGACTCTTTTCGAAGTTCAGTCCTCGAATGGAATTCTCCGACTCCCCAACCGGATTCTTTGGAGGTTTGCGAGAGCAATTCGAACAGCTCGTACTAGAAGAAAGATTGGCCTGTCAGTGGGAAAATCAAGATCCTATTGAATATCCATCATTTGGATCTGGTAACGATGATTTCGAGACCGTTGTACGACCCTTCTATGCTGCGTGGACCGGGTTTTCCACCCAAAAGTCGTTCGCATGGAAAGATGCTCATCGTTATTCTGAAGCGCCTGATCGTCGGGTGCGGCGAATGATGGAAAAGGAGAACAGACGCCTCCGGGAGGAAGGCATCCGAGAATTCAATGATGCTGTCAGGTCACTCGTGGCTTTTGTCAAGAAACGTGATCCACGGTATAAATTCAATGCCCAAAGTGAAGCTCAACGCCAGGAAACCCTCCGCCAGTCTGTGGCTGCACAGGCTGCAAGATCACGGGCTGTGAATCAAGCCAAGATGCGGGATCATGTCCTTCCCGAGTGGGCCCAGTCAGAGCAACCAGTGGCAGATGACGACCAGGAGAGGAGCGAAGAGAGTGAAGTCGAGAGTTTTGAATGTGTGGCATGTCACAAATATTTCAAAAGCCAGAAGCAATACGAGGCGCACGAACGTAGCAAGAAGCATTTGAAGGCAGTCAAACAGCTATGCTGGGAGATGCGAATGCAGAACCACGAATTGGATTTGGAACCCGCGGATGACTCGAGTACCAATGCAGTTACAACTAAACCTCTTGGGGTGGATGACGGGAAAGATTGGGTTTCTACTACCTCGGAGGTCGATCTGGAACCAAGTACCTCTGTGAAGAGTCACGACATTCCCGCTGATGATCGAGGGAGTTCGCATGATCTAGAGGAAGCAACTATCTCCGAGCTAGATACCCCAACGTCTTCCCACGATGATGATTATGCCTCCAGGGAATATGTCGAGACGAGGCTCCGCACCGATATGGATTCTTTGTCCACAGGCGCCGGAGACTCCTCTGGTGTATCTAGTCATCCGTTCTCTTCGGACCTCACTGGCCAGTCACCAACTCTCAAAATGGGCAAGGCCAAGCAGAAACGGGCGAAAAAGGCCGCGAAGCAAGCAGATCAACCCACGGCGTTCATTTGTGCAAATTGCCAGGCTCACTTCACATCCAAGTCTAAGTTATTCGATCATATTAGAGACCTTGACCACGCACAACCCTTAATAGGATCTGTTGCTAAAAAGGGGAGGAAACGCTAGTAACACATCCGTGATGCTCATTTACCGTTTTTCTTTTCTTTTTTTTAATCCAAATTTTTTTTTTTTTAGAAAGATAAAAAGATACATCTAGTCCGTTGAGTCTTACATTTCTATTTTCTATTTCTATGGTTAAATAAGCCCGCATATGCCGGCTGGGAAATCTTCCCCTTCAGCCAAACACAGCCCCAACCCTCTAACCTAACCCAGCCCGCGAGTTCTTTACAACCTGCGCGACAGGCTGCAGGATTCCCTTGTTGTCGGCGGCACCCAGAGCAGTACCTGTACTCCATCCCATCTTCTCCAGCATGGCCCGCCCTCGGTTTTCAGCTCCGATTTCAGGAGCAGAGGCGCCAACCACATCGCCATCCATATATGAAGCAGCACCGGACTTTCCACGCTGGGTTTTGGGGAATCTCGGCACTTCCGTACCCCATGATTTGAACAACCGACGGTTGAACTTCCTCCCGGATAAGATATCGTCAACATTAGATATAGTCTTTGGTGTGTATCGCGGGGTGCGTGCCGTCTTATTGAGGACCGGGAAGCGAGAAATTCCATGGCCGCGTGACTGTGATTTGAGATTCAGCGCATTGGCCAATTCATGTATCAGCTTTCTGCGTTGCTTCGTCATGGGCGGCAAGGACAGGCTATATTGAGTTAGCTAGGTCAAAGAGAATTAGCAGGTTTAGAACAAACCTATTTTTAGGAGACAGAAGAAATGAGCGAATCTCGGTCATAAATTCCTCCATGTTCATTTCCTTGGGGTACTTGACCTTGAGGTCTGGGTTCCCTGCTTTTCTGCCCAGTAGTCCTTGCGCCCGGAGCTCTGCCCGCTCTATCTTCCGCAGTTTCTTTTTGGTCCGGTCGTTCTGCCAGGCCTCTTGTAGCTCGACTTCGAACTCACTGTCGGATAGTACTAGGTCGGGGATGGACTGCTTGCCCTTGGGTTTTTTCCGTAGACTTGCCCGGTCAAAATCCATTATGTCAAACCCGAAATATGGATCAGACTCCAGGGCATCCGCAAATGCCGATGCCGATGGAAATGAAGGCTTTCCATAACGGGAACCTTTTTTGGTGGACCCGGAATATCCGTTCGCCAGGTCTTCAAGCAACACAAAGTCTTCAAGGGTATCATCATCTGATCCAGATATGACCATATCGTCTTCGTCATCTTCGCTTGATGATGGAATTGAATCATGTTCGGTGTCGATTTGCATTTGAGTTAGCGATCTTGGTGATTCGATTTTAGAGCCTGTGGGGCTCGAGGCCGACAGATCTAGTTGCGTTGCGGCTTTTTCGACGTCAATGCCACCTTCTAGGTCAATCTTTGCACCGGATGTCACTTCCTCGTGGTAGTCATTGTCGATGTTGGCAATATAGTCTGCTAGTGGGTCCGTCTCTTCTTCCAGTGGCCAGTCTGGTCTCTCCGTGTTGGGTTCAAGATTGTCTGTCAGGCTAGCGGCAGGCGAAGCATCCCGGGGGGTAGGGTCCAATGTTGGTGTGTGTGATTTCTGCATAACTACAACAGTAGTCGTCTGCACAACTTCTTGAATCTCGTTCTGGTGTGTTTCGATGAGAACGGGTTTTGTGTTCCTCCTGCGGCCGGTGAACACAACCTCATCCTCACTCGAGTCGTCTATATCCGATAACTTCGACTGCAATACTGGGTCCGGGTGGTCGGTATGAACAACCCCTTGTCCCTTTGAGTCGAAGAAGAATGGAACCTCGAGGTCGGCGTTTTTGTTCGATATATTGTCGGTCTTTGGTTCTTCCCGGTCCGTGTTTGGTTTTGCCTGCTCCTCGCCTGCTAGTTCCAGTGTCGGTTCCAATGTCGGTTTCAGGCTTCCCGCGCTCACGAATTGAACGGCTTTGTGTCGAAGGTTGCTGTCTGACCATGATCGCTGATGGGTTTCTGTATTCCGAGCTTCTTGCTGCATAGTAAACTGGTGTGGCGATGGGTCTTTTGATTTTTTCAAACAAATTAGTATTCATCAACATAATAGAAGCACACTCATTACCTCTACCCATCGGCACCCGCCTGGTACGGGCCTTGGATTTCCCATGACGGGCCATGGATGGTAAATCTGATCTGTTGATGGGGAGAGAAGTGATGGGAGGAGATTCTTTTGCCTTCGGGTCGGGTCCGGGCGGTGACGGACATACAAAAAGGTACCGTAAACACAAGTAACAATTACAATGTACATGTATGGAGTTCTTATAAGACCTTTATGTATTTTGTTTTCTTGTTGTTGATTTTCGAACCTTTTATGTTATATTTTCAAAAAAAAAAATTAAAAAAACTAAGGGGTGATCTTGATTGTAGAGTATAGAGTGTAGATTGCATACATTGTAGTGACGTCTTAGCTCGTGACTGGAGACTCTCCCCCTCACCTGGGCGTCATGTCCCTAGAAAGGCATATTCGATTAACCCGGCGCTTTTACCGTTTATCTTTTTTTGTTTGTGGTTTTCCTCGGTTCTTTGTGGTGACCTAGCTTGGTCGCTTGGTATTAAATCACCGAGTTAGCTTCCAGGTTGGAAAGAGAGAGGGGGAGAGAGAGATATATATATACTCACCTCTGATCTTGAATCACTTACCCCTTCCAAACCACAAACCACAAACCACCATACCTGAACAGATACACAGAATACCGGCGCCAACCATGACCGTGGACATGGAAAAGTGCAAACGCATAGTACAATACTTCTGGGACCCAGAACCTAGAAATGATGTACCTGCGGCGTCGATATGGTGCCTGGGCAGGGAGTATGCCCCCCCGCAACCACCCAGTGACCCGGCTAGTGAGTCTCACTGAAGTGAATATACAACCTAATATCCTATATCTAACAACCTATACAGCCAACAACCCATACAGCCCCTCAAGACAGCCCGATGCTAGCACATTGAATGACACAGCATGGCCAAAGGCATTTCTCTCTGACTTTGGATCGAGGATCTGGATCACATATCGATCAAACTTCACACCGATCCCACGAACAAAGTCACTAGAAGCAACATCCTCGATGACACTGGGGGTACGTCTGAGAAGTCAACTGATGGACCCTCAAGGCTTTACGTCAGATACAGGGTGGGGCTGCATGATCAGATCTGGACAAAGCCTTTTGGCAAATACCTTTTCAGTTCTATTACTCGGACGAGGTGAGAGATGCGTCTAAATATGTATCAAAAAACCCCATACGCCCCCACCCCCCCAAAAAACCAGAACTAATTAAATATAATATAGACTGGCGCCGAGGGGAGAAAGTGGAGGAAGAGTCAAAGCTAATATCGATGTTCGCCGATCACCCCGAAGCTCCCTTCTCAATACATCAATTTGTCAATCGCGGCGCAGAATCATGCGGGAAATACCCAGGTGAATGGTTTGGGCCCTCGGCAACTGCTAAATGTATCCAGTGCGTGTTACCAAAACCCAAGCCATAGAGTGATGCTGATTGCAATAGGCTACTTTCAACCCAAAGCAAGGCCCCTCAACTCAGGGTATATGTAACCAATGACACATCGGACATCTATGAAGACAAATTTGCACATGTGTCCCACGATAGGTCGGGTCACATTCAACCAACACTCATCCTGATTGGAACCAGGTTGGGGATCGACAATGTCACCCCAGCGTACTGGGATGGACTTCGAGCTGCATTAACATATCCCCAATCCGTTGGGATTGCAGGGTAGGTCCATGCATCTGTCTGTACACCCGACATGAAGTATGCGCTAATCAAAACAGTGGACGCCCATCAGCATCGCATTACTTTGTAGGGGCTCAAGACTGCCACCTCTTCTTCCTTGATCCGCATACCACCCGACCTGCAACGTCATATCGACCAGATGGGCCTTACACTCAAGAGGAACTAGATAGCTACTACACCAACCGACTACGGAGAATCCATATCAAGGACATGGATCCTAGCATGCTGATTGGATTTCTCATCCAGGACGAAGATGACTGGGCTGACTGGAAGAAACGAATTCAATCCACGCCTGGACAACCCATTGTGCACATTTTCCCCAGTCAGCATCAGCCAGATTATGGCCATGGTCGAGCTGAGGCTCTGGATGAAGTTGAGGCACTGGACGATTCAGATGAGATGGAGTGATAGACAAACTAGGAGATGCAGCTTGATTTTAACTTGTGCCTTGGGAAAAATTTACCAGGAAAGAGAGAAATAGAATCATGATGCAATGCAATTAAGCATTTGGAATTTCGCGTTCTAGTAGGGGAGGCCAATCCATGCCTGCCCCAGACCCGAGTTATGTTACACCGCATTCACGTATCGAGTGGTAACCATTCAAAAAAAATCACCCATCGGGGAAAAGAAAATTCAAGCCATCCCATGACGCATTAGAAACCCGCAAAACACCCATAACCGACCACCTCAGAGCCCATAACAGATCAAGAGGCAGTAAAAACAAAAGCAAGCTGGAAAGAAAACGTAAAGAAGCCGCTTATTTGGCGGAAGAAGAGTACTTGGTGACAGCCTTGGTGCCCTCAGAGACGGCGTGCTTGGCGAGCTCACCGGGGAGGATGAGACGCACAGAGGTCTGGATCTCCCGGGAGGAGATAGTAGACTTCTTGTTGTAAGCGGCCAGCTTGGAGGCCTCGGTAGCGACACGCTCGAAGATGTCTGGAGAATGAAGAAATCAGAATGTGACATAGTAAGAAAACGCGTAAACGCGTTTTTTTGTGTTTGTTGCAAGGGAGTTGCGCGAAGAGAAAACATACCGTTGACGAAAGAGTTCAGGATGGACATGGCACGAGTAGAGATACCAGTGTCGGGGTGGACCTGCTTGAGGACTGGAAATGGAGTTAGTATTGACGCGTTCTTGATAACTGAGGTGCTGTTTTCAAGAATGAACTCACCCTTGTAGATGTAAGAAGAGTAAGTCTCCTTGCGGGTCTTGCCGCGCTTCTTCTTCTCGCCAGTTGCAGCGGTGGCAGTCTTCTTGCCAGCCTCCTTCTTCTCAGCAGGGGCCTTGCCGCCAACGGGGGCCTTGCCACCGGTGGAGGGCTTCTTCTCAGCGGCCTTAGGGGGCATTTTGAATGTGGTTGGAAAAGTTGGTTGGAAAGAAAAGAGTTGGAAGAGTAAAGAGTAAAGATGGATGAAGCGTGTGGATGGGAAACAGAGATGGTATGTGGAAGGTGAAGTTAGAGAGACGCGGTGACGAGGGGAGAGAGCGTCTTTATACTCGTGTTCCAAAGGCCAGTTGATCCTGGAGGGGGGTGCAAAGGAGGCCGAATTTCAATACGGTAACACCTTGGTATGATCTGTATGATTAAACCGACATTGACGCGTCTCAAGGTGGGAAAGGTGGGGTATAACCACGCTCAGCTGACTGTCAGGTATGGTAATGAATTTATATTACCACACCATTCCCGAAGGGGAATGTCTGATCTGATTGATCATTGGCTGCAACATCTAAGCGAGACCGTGATCTGGAGCGCCCATTGATGCTGCCCCAACGTCACCCTCACCGCGTCCTTATAAAGGTCCTCCGCTTCCACACGCTCTCCCACCTGCTCTTGCCACTTTACACCATAACCCAAGCTCTCCACCTTCAAACAACACACCTTTTCTCTCTCTCTCTCTCTACCAAAACCCTCCCCCCCTTTTCAAAACCAACCATCAAAATGACTGGCGGAAAGTCCGGCGGCAAGGCTAGCGGCAGCAAGAACGCGCAGTCGTAAGTTGTTTACATTTCGCGTCTTTATATATACGTTTCATACTGACATCAACATCCTCAGCCGTTCCTCCAAGGCTGGTTTGGCCTTCCCCGTTGGCCGTGTCCACCGTTTGCTCCGCAAGGGCAACTACGCTCAGCGTGTCGGTGCCGGTGCTCCCGTTTACCTCGCTGCTGTTCTTGAGTACCTAGCTGCTGAGATTCTCGAGTTGGCTGGAAACGCCGCCCGTGACAACAAGAAGACCCGTATCATCCCTCGTCACCTCCAGCTTGCTATCCGCAACGATGAGGAGCTGAACAAGCTCCTGGGTCACGTCACCATTGCCCAGGGTGGTGTTCTCCCCAACATCCACCAGAGTACGTTATCCCCGCATCAACCCTCTATTTGTGTATTGTACACTAACATTGTTTTCAGACCTTCTCCCCAAGAAGACTCCCAAGGCCGGCAAGGGCAGCCAGGAGCTGTAAGGGTTCTCTCTTTTTTCGCGGGTTGTTTGTTTTCTTTTCCGGCGCGGATTGGTTCTTTGACACGATAATGGGGTTATGGGACGGGCACGTTATGGCTCTGCGTTTTCTCTTTTTTTTCATCAATTTCCTGGTTGTACATTATGTCTACGGACATGGAATGATACCGACGACCTTAACTCGCTTGAGGGATTTCAACTTTCGGATACTAGCCCTGGGCATGAGCCCAAATCAATGAAAACTCCAGGTCTTTCAAGTGTTAAAAAAATATACCTACTTCCTTTCGTACTTTAAGCATACACTGTATCATATAAATGATATTCTTGGCGGCGTTGTCCTCTCGAGGTGGCTATTGTACATGAAATAAATTGTTAATTCTTGATTCTGGTCGGCGTACTCTAAATCTGCAGGAAAGACACGCATACTTTATGTTGCATAGTTAATGTTTGCAATTGGCCCAATCCTCACATTGTGTTTTGCGATATTGATTTGACTTAGTGTGCACCAGGAGGTTGAGCATCTATGTCGTCTCATGGTTAATGCAAATCGAAGGTTTCCTGGGGATGTGAACGTACATGGCAGGATTCGGGCCGGCAGGTTGCGCTCCCATTTGTTACCGCCAGGCGCAGTAGGTGCCCGGTATGGGTCAGGGTGCTTCCAGGTTGCCAAGAGCTTCTCTGTCTCGCGCAGCAAAACCTAGAGCGTGTGTTAGATTTGCCAGCCATAGATCTCACAGTTTTACATACCTGTTGCTGGCGAGGATCGCGAACGTCCTTGTTGGCTTCAAAAAGGGACCGGATATAGACTGCTTGTCCACGCCAGACCTGCCGGTGGACGGCCCAGTCAAGAGACAGTTTCAGGGAGCGCCGGTAGAGCGACCTGTAGTAAATAAGTGAATAGTCCTCTAGGGGGACACCAGCGGACTCACTTAACAGCGGAGGTGGACATTGTGCTCAAGTTTTGTCCCGGGTCCAATTCCGGCCAGCTGGAAGAGGGAAATGAAAATAAGAAAGCGAGTGTGTTGATTACACAGGTCTATCAAACAGAAATGACAACCTTAAAGATTGTTAGGGTTCCTGGTGGACAATGGGCTGGAGTTGAGGGTTTCAATGTCGTCAGGTTGACTATTCTGGGCTTCCTAATTCGTTCGGCACAGACTTGCTCAAATGGTCACTGCCCGCCCCCGTAGTGTAAGAAGAATAGTCCGCCTCTGCCGGAAGGGTGCCGGTTTACCTGAGGACCCGATCTAATCCGAGCTTCATCTTCTCAACTTGCTCTAATTTTTAGAGTTGAAGCGTTTTTGTCTTACGAAACCGGTTCGGCTTTTTCCCAACCGAGTAAATTTTGCTTTGATTCATCATGGCTTCTCGAATCTCTATTGCGCGCCTCTCGAGCCAGCGCTTCTCGGCTGTGGCCAGAACCACTCCTCGGGCATCAAGCCAGTTACGCAATGTCAAGGGATTGTCTACCCTCACGCGGAAGACTTCAGCTCGCTCAGCTTCGGGCTTGTTGCAGGTCTCTTCTTCCGGGTAAGTATCTACGTTATCACCATCCGTCGCAATTTTAGCTCATACAACGCTACAGCATCAATGTCTCGCGACTCAACCTTGCTCCTCTAGGAGGTCACCAACTTCGCACCTATGGTAAATGCTTATCTTAAGCATTCCTATTGATCAATTGCTAATAATGCTTAGCCGATTCCATCATCAAGGTCCCCAGCATGGCTGAGTCGATTACAGAGGGTACCCTCAAGCAATTCTCAAAACGTATGGTGCTTTGGCCGTGGTTGAAATTCTGGCATTTACTTATCATGGTACAGAGGTTGGAGATTTCGTCGAGCGCGACGAGGAGATTGCGACAATTGAAACAGACAAGGTAAATACCAACTCCGACCCCCACCCTTCACAACTAGTACTGCTGTTAACATGGATTTTCTGTTAGATTGATGTTTCGGTTAATGCCTCGGAGTCTGGTACCATTAAGGAGTTCCTCGTGAACGAGGAAGATACCGTTACCGTCGGCCAAGATCTTGTCAGGATCGAGCTTGGCGCTGCTCCCGAGGGTGGAAAGAAGGACGAGGGTGCCGAGAAGCCCAAGGAGCCCGAGCCTAAGAAGGATGCTCCGCCCGCTCCCGCCGAGACCGAGAAGCCCAAGGAGCCCGAACCTAAGAAGGCTGCGCCCCCCAAGGAGGCTCCCAAGGCGGAGTCCAAGCCCCAAGCAGCTGAACAGCCAGCTCTTGGTGGCCGCGAGGAACGCCGGGTATGTTGACCCCAAATATGCCTTCGACCTTGACTTGAAGCTAATTTTTGGTCTAGGTCAAAATGAACCGCATGCGTCTGCGTATCGCCGAGCGCCTGAAGCAGTCCCAGAACACCGCCGCTTCTCTCACCACTTTCAACGAGGTTGACATGTCCTCGCTGATGGAGTTCCGGAAACTGTACAAGGACGATGTGCTCAAGAAGACCGGTGTGAAGCTTGGTTTCATGAGCGCCTTCTCCCGTGCTTGTGTGCTTGCCATGAAGGATATCCCCGCTGTCAATGCTTCCATCGAGGGTCCTAACGGCGGTGATACCATCGTCTACCGCGACTATGTTGACATCAGCGTTGCAGTTGCCACCGAGAAGGGTCTTGTGACTCCTGTAGTCCGTAACACCGAAGGCAAGGATCTTGTTGGAATCGAGAAGGCCATTGCCGATCTCGGAAAGAAGGTGAGCCGTTGTTATTCTGGGATGGAGGCCGATGTCCAATTTACTGACCTGTAATAGGCTCGTGACAACAAGTTGACCATTGAAGACATGGCCGGCGGTACCTTCACCATCAGCAACGTATGTTTTTCCCTGTGTTTGTGTGTTTAAGAACAATCCCGCTAACCTATCCCAGGGTGGTGTCTTCGGCTCGCTGATGGGTACACCAATCATCAACGTTCCCCAAACAGGTCAGTTCTTTCGATTTTTTATTTTTTTTAAAATACGATTAGCATCTAACTATGTCTAGCTGTCTTGGGACTCCACGCCATCAAGGACAAGCCTGTCGCTGTGAACGGCAAGGTCGAGATCCGTCCCGTACGTACAGGCAATCCAATGACTTTTTCTTCGGTTTACTAATATTTCTAGATGATGTATCTTGCTCTCACCTACGATCACCGTCTCCTGGATGGTCGCGAGGCCGTTACGTTCCTTGTCAAGGTATGTCTACCTCCTCATTCACCCGAATCAATCACTAATCCCATCACAGGTCAAGGAGTATATCGAGGACCCCCGGCGCATGCTGCTTGGCTAGGTAGCATGAGTGTTTTGTCACGCGCCTTTTATTCTCTATGTTCTCGTACCTGGAGCGGCCTTGCGCCCTTTGTAAATTATTGTGTTCCAAGATATAAATGCCATGTCAAGCACAGGTCTTGTAGTTGGGCTCTAAGCACTATTCTTCTGTTATGTGAGTATTTCTTTCGGTCTTTATGGGCTGTTGGGAATTGATTGAGATTGAAGGATCAATATGGTGATCGAATTAGTGAGCATGTGGTATTGCACTTCAGATAAATAGTGATCCGCGATGCTAGCTCTAGCTCATGTGTCTGCTTGGATTGGTATCATTACACATAGAATCACGTAGAAGGGCATGTTCTCGTATCGTTTGGGTGAGAATACTAAAGTCCACAATAGTCTCGAACCCGCTGTGTCTCCTCCCGGGTCAATCCTTCCAGCTGGCCATGCTCCAGCTGAAGAAGAAGGGGCGCATCTAGGACTTCCATAAGATCCTCGAAAAAATCGACGTAACGATGCTGCAGCAATTGGAGAGGGCACACCTCATTGAGCTCTTCTCGGCTCTTTGGGTCCGCCGTACCGAATGGGGGTGGCATGTGCTCCAGAAACATGGTACGGCTGACCTCCCACCATATATCGAGTTCACTGTCGTTTGTTCTCCAGTTGCAGAGTCTGTGGAGCTGGTCTGGGAAGCGCGCTTCTTCTTCCAGTATCGCATGAATCATGAAGTGGGCACCGAGGTCGAGCCAGCGTGTCCGGGATACGTGGGCGACTGCCGACTGACAAAAGTCCATGAACTGAACTGCGATATCAGACAGGGGCACAAAGTGACCGAGGTCGCGATCTTTGGGGGGGTCCCAGTGAAGAAAGAGATTGGACAGGTAGAAAATGCGCAATTTGAAGTTCAGGTCCCAGGGCAAGGGGCCGTCGAGACGATGACCGAGAAGCCGCCGGTGGAATTCTAAGGAGTCAGTATGAAATGATCCTTTGCCGGGAAGTCCTGGGTACTTACGTTCAACTAAAAGCGCAAACCATTCAATGTCCTCGGTTGGTCTTGCTTGGTGAATTGCTCCTAGTATCTCACTGATACACATGCAGACCATGTAGTCGAGGATCAACAGATCCACAGTGGCTCGAATGCCAGGGTTTCGTTCCGCCATTTTGACGTCAACACTGAGGAGGGTATCAAATGAAAGGTATGTGGACGGTCCTAGAGGGATCCATGGTGCCCCCAAGGATACAGCTGTTCCCACGGCGATATTATGTCAATGCGCTTAGTCGGCGCGATTAGTCGATGTCACTGCCCGTGGGCCTGGGGTATTTTGACATCACCTTCACGTGACTGGGTATAGCATTCAACCATTTTATGGAGTATAGTGACACTTTTGACATACATTGGGATTACATGATTACTTTTACTTGCTATAACATTGGGAATGTGGATTTAATATATATAAATTGAAATGTGAGCTGTAGAAGCTGTAGAAGCTGTTTTGAAATATCAGATGTAGTGAATGCGGATATCATGGCGTCATTTATATATAACCATGTAGAGAGTCACACATATGTACATACTATGTAATTGATCACTTCCCCCCTTTCACCCATCCAACAGCCCCTTCAGTCCATGCTCAACCTACGCATAAAACCAAAATTCAGCCTCAGCAAAGCAACACAGGCTACCATGGCGTGGTATTGCTCTGGATCCACCAACACCGAGTTGATTGAGAACCTATTCAAGGCTGGACTGATCCACAATGAGCGTGTGAAAGATGCCATGATAGGAGTGAGCATATGTAATATATTTTGATTCAATGCCCTCTCTAACTATGACCAAGGTTGATCGAGCCCATTATGCTCCATCACGGCCGTATTCGGACTCGCCTCAACCCATTGGATATGGGGCTACCATATCAGCACCGCACATGCATGGCCATGCATGTGAGTATCTGATTGATTATCTCAAACCAGGTGCTCGGGTGTTGGACATTGGATCTGGTTCAGGGTATTTGACCCACGTCCTTGCCAATCTGGTGACCAGTTCATCCAGCAACGCTCAGGGACAGGTGATTGGGATTGATCATATCCCTGAGCTGACAGACCTGGCTCGTACCAACATGGACAAGTCCAAGCAAGGCAGTGAGTTACAGACATCTACAACTGTCAAGTTTATCACTGGCGATGGACGTCTTGGATGGAAAGAAGGTGCACCGTACGACGCCATCCACGTTGGCGCCGCGGCCGACAAGCTTCATCCAACTCTGGTCGACCAGCTGCGTGCTCCCGGGAGACTCTTCATTCCGGTGGAATCGGAAGATGACGAAAGTGCCATGGATAGTCTCAGCGGGGGTCAATATATCTGGGTGGTAGATAAAAAGGAAGACGGATCCATTCGCAAAGAGAAGGTCTTCCAAGTCAGCTATGTGCCCTTGACGGATGCTCCACGAGGATGAGACGTCTTCTTCTTCGGTTTACATTTACAGAGATTCCTTTACTTTGATAAAAGAAAAGTGATAATAATATGAGTTTATGTGCTTTCCTAAATTGATTTCTCCATGTGAGCTTCAAAACTTCATATCTTTCCAAATACATCGAGAAAGACTCCACGAACACCCTGGCATGTTTCACAAAGAGAGAAGATAGAATTCGATCAGCGGAATCCACCAGGGAACTTGAAATTCCCCTGGAATTGTGGACCACCCTGTTGGAAGAAGAACTGTTGACCACCACCACCGAATGGGTTGCCCTGGAACTGACTGCCTCGCTGTTGCGATTCGGGATCATTGGGATCGTCGCCGTTGTCAAACCGTGTCCGGAGTTCGGAGTCAGATAAAACCTCGTAGGCTTCATTGATGGCCGCCATCTTTTTCTCCGCCTCTTCCTTGCTTACACCCTGGGCGTTGGCCTTATCAGGGTGATGTTGCTTCACTAGCTGGCGATACGCGCGTTTGATCGTCCGATCATCTGCATCACGGCTAATACCAAGGACCTTGTAGTAATCTTTCTGCTTGGAGCGCTTGAGTAAAGTCTGAGCCTTTTGTTGGAGAGATTGCGCCTCTTGGGAACTGGGATGGTGTTCCTTGGCCGATTCGAGCGTACGTATGGCGTCCTCGAACCGATCCTCGTCCAAAGCGGTCTGGGCTTTATATAGGAGCCCGGCAAGTGAGTGGGGAACAAGCTGGAGAGCTTCAGCGCAGTAAGGGCCCGCCTTTTTGATCATACGCATCTGGGTATGTTAGTGACGGAAATTAAGCGATGTGACGTGGGTACTCACCTCTCGGTAAGCCTCGCAGGTCTTCTCGACCAGGAATGTGTAAAGATTATTGGGTGCCAGATGATGAATATGGTTAGCTTGTCTCGCTTCTTCAACATCGGCCTTGATGTCCGCAATCAGTCCACTGGATTCACTATCGCCGACCATGAGATTTGCTGCATTGCTGAATTTGCGTGCGCCCAGGGCAGTATGCAATTTTTCTAGCTGTTTGGCAAGCTTCCGTTCACGTCGATATAGACGGTTGCACGGTTTCGAGTCCGGATCAGCATGGAGGCATTTGCGAATTTGAGCAAGGCCACGGTCACTGTCTCCTAGAGAGTAGAACAGCATGGATGACATTTGCAGATGAGGTTCGACCAAGCTCGGGGACATTTGCAGAACATGTGCCAAGTCGCTAAGCGCTTCTTCCGTCTCGCCTTTTTCAAAGTGACAATGGGCTCGAGCCTGTCGTAGAGGCAGTGCCGTATTTGCCTTGAGGATGGCAATATTTGCCTCCGAGACACACGTCTCCCACGCGCCCTGCTTTTCGGCATTGAGAGCTAAGGTGGCCGCATCTCGTGCGGCTTCTAATTCCTTGTAATCATCCGTCGACTTTTTTCCGGCCCGCTCGAGATCCTGCAAGGCCTCTTGCCAATGCGCGGAGCGTGCGTTTAAGCGGGATCGCTGTAGAAGAGCGCCCTCAAAGTCCGGCTTGAGTTCTAAAACTCGATCAAAGTCGCTTGAGGCTTGTGAATTTTTGCCGATGGAAAGATAAGCCGCGCCCCGTTGGAAGATAGTGATATAGTTGGTTGGGTCGCGCGAGACGGCGGCGTCGAAGTATACCACGGCATCTCGGGGTGAGCCCTGCGCGAGGTGGGCCTTGGCGGAAGAGATCAATTCAGAGAGAGGTGTATCCGAGGGAATTTGAAGGGCGTATCCAGCCGAAAGACAAGCCAGAAAGGCCGTGAGTGAGTCCAAGGAAATGAGCATCTTGAGGTAGTATGCGACGCAGTAACGACGTAGTAACGGGAGGTGTTAACGAAGGGTTTGGTGCATAATCAGTCTCCCTAGGAGTACAAGAAGAGGAGCATAATCCAAAAATCTCGATCAAAATAGCCAAGTGCAAAGCGCAAAGAACAATGAACAAGGGAACTCGAAGTTGGAGGAGCACATGTGCATACTCCGTGGCCTTTACGCCTCGTATTGTTCCGTTACCGTCATGTGACATAGAATTGTCTCCAATCGCTTTCGCTCCGAGTTTTGGTCTTCACTACTCCGATTCAAAGTATGCTCGTCAAGTCAATATGTCGAAGTATCTTGTGGCCTAAGATTGGTCTGAAACTGTCGCCTTTGCGAGGTGTACATACCGGTAAGATTCGTTTGGTTATCTTCTGATCAATTTGCTAATTGCAACCAGCATCCGATTCTACCTTGTCTCCAGCTCTTTTAACTAGAGCCCGCCTACTTGCAGCTGAACATACAAAGCTTGCAAAACGATTGGGAGAGTCATTTGACGCAAAAACCGCCAAGCGAGCCGGAGAACTGGCACCGGTTGCGAATATCTTGAAAGAATGGATCAATGCCAACGATGTATGCGCCTTGGAGACCTTCATTGAAGACCTACTAATTCCGCTAGTCTATTACCGAGCTCAAGTCTCTACTAACCGATCCCAACACCGATGCCGAACTACGGTCCTTGGCAACAGAAGACCTTGAGAGCAGTCGCGATGCCTTGCCTACGATATCAGACCGACTGAAGAAGGCTCTCATTCCACGACATCCATTTGCAGACCTTCCTTGCTTGCTCGAAATCCGACCCGGGGCAGGCGGAGATGAAGCAGGCTTGTTCGCCTTTGAGATGTTACGAATGTACGTTGCCTTTTGCTCCCGAAGGGGCCTCCGCCCAACAATCTTGAAACAAGACACAGAGGTTGGCCCGTCCGACGACCGTCTCAGTGAAGCGGTAATTGAAATTGAAGCCAGTGGCGCATACGATATATTACGGACTGAATCGGGGGTACATAGGGTGCAGAGAGTACCCGCAACCGAGACCAAGGGTCGCACCCATACCAGTGCCGTTAGTGTAATGGTCTTGCCGAGTTTCCCAGAGGACGGCAGTGAGATGGATAACGCCCTGAACTTTGAAGATCCAAACAGCGATTACTATATTGACCCGCAAGAGGTGCGGGTTGAAAAGATGAGGGCTGGGGGTGCTGGTGGGCAACATGTCAACAAAACCGAGTCCGCCATTCGACTGACCCATATCCCCACGCATACGGTTGTCTCCATGCAAGACGAACGGTCCCAGCAGGCCAATCGGAGAAAGGCGTGGCAGATGCTACGGGCAAAGCTGGCCGAAGCCCGACAAGAAGCCCGTGAACAAGAGCTTATGCAGCTCAGACGAGGTATACTAGGTGGTGTGGCCAAAATGGGTCGAGGTGATAAGATTCGAACCTACAATTTTGGTCAAAGTCGCTGCACCGACCATCGTACAGGGATCACGATTCATAATCTGGATAGTATTCTCGATGGCGGTGATGGCTTGGAGACTGTGATGGACAGTGTGCGGACCTGGATGGCTGATAGTGAAGTTGAGGCCATGGTTGCCGAGGACATGGGAAAAGCAAAGAGTAAATAGCAGAGTCATTCTTTTCATGTACAAAGATACCATGTATTTTATTAAGGCCCGAATCTATTGATGTTCTACAAATACTTTCGCTCCGGATCCAAGATGTCCAGTCCATCCATAGCCTTCTCATACCTGTCCAGTAGTTAGCAACTTTCATACTATGACTTAGGTCAATCACAAACATGGTGAACACAATTCCTCCACTCATGATCAATCTTGCAAGTCGCGGCATAGCGCCAGACCATAAAGTTAAGACACCTTCATCCTTGACGATTCTTGTTGCGCAAACAATGCTGTTCTTGTAATGCTTGCTGGCCTCAAGTGATTGCATTCTGATATCGTTAGTATCTTTGATATGTATCATTAGCGTGTGGGGATAGTGACCTTGTCTTGACCGTGTCCAATGGTTGGGTCACATAACTGATTCATGTTAGTTGGTGTTTGTCCCTTTTTGTCCCCATCTTCTTCAGGGATCGAAGTCTTACACAGTGATGAGTCCTGCAATACCACCGATTCCAAAGGTGGCTGCAGTCCCCAGCTTTTCACCCGGCGCCGTATAGCCCTCTGCAAACTGCTTCAATGTTGTGTAGGCTGTGAATCGGGTTGCCGAGTTGGCAGCCTGTCTTGCTGTAGTGGGAACAAAGCCTTGGAAAAACCCCTTGACACCTCTTTCCTTGAAAATGAGTTTGCTGCCATGCAAGAAACCCCGCATCCGAGGGTTGGCAGACTTTCGGTCGTCGATCCTATAGTTCGGTCAGTAGAGCCTGCCAGAAATGGGACGGGAACTTACAATTGAGTCTTGATGCTTTCAAAGGGGGTGACGGCGAAAAGAGACTCGGTGAATCCAGCACCAAATCCAGCAACAACCGTCCTAGGTCCTGAGATCTTGCCGTTCTCATCTTGGAGAACCGATTTTATGGCATCGAAAGCGACGAATCCTAGTATGTATTAGCGGGGGCCTATAAAATTACGGGAGACAACCGCACGAATTCCAGCCTTGAGCGAGTTTCCGATAATCAGTGTTGTACATCCTGCATACCACTGGCTTCCGAACGGTGGCCATGGTAGCTTTTGGCCTTGGGTAAGCTGGCGATTGAGTTGAGTCCGGGTCTTCGCAACTGCAGATCATTAGAAATAATTGTAAGACATTCGAAGGGATCATACATTCGGCCGGGTACGTGATCGCTGTAGTATACTGTTAGCTAGTGGCCTGGTAGGAATCATTGAGCTCTTTACCGATCTCCACGGCTCCGGCAGTGGACCCCGCAAGGATGGAGCGAAGGGCGCTGGGCTATTTATTGGTGAGCGTTAAGCAGAATAGCTTATTTGACCGGAGAACAAACCTTCGCCTTTTGATCCTTATTCACCGTCGCCATTTTTTTTTTTTTGGGCTTCGGGGATAGGTTTGAGGAATTGCAGTCGCCGAACATCGGAGATCCAGCGATATACGGCCTTCGGCACGTGCCATTACCGCAGTATAGAATCAGCTAGGAAGACCATGAAGGCCAGTTCTGTTACAATCAAATCCTACAACTTATTACAGTGGAACAAATTGGAGGGATATTGTCAATTCACTAGCTGAATCTACTTAGATTCGTTAAGCAACTAGTGCTCCTCCATTTTTTTCTTCTTTTTTTTCTGGGTTTTTTTGAAGGTGAGAGTGTGATGTTCACCGTGCCTTTAACAACGGCAATCACACTAAGTGAGCGTAGACAGGAATGGGGTTAAGCATGGTAGAGTGGTGGGAGGACTCTGGGCTGCCAACCAAAGGTTGGTCAAGGGTGAGATCATCACTCGTAGGGGAAATAAAAAAAAAGAGCCCTGGGAAAAAAAATCGCACGAGACGCTTATCCTGTGGAACGCCATTTGCCTTGAAAATCCCGAAACACAGAATATAGCCTCGGAAAAACGTAGAGCATAGGCGCCGAAAATGCAATTTCCTCAAGGATCCAACTCATAGGACAAGGGACCGGGACGGAAAAGACATATGATACATTGTACTCCCGTTTCATTATGACCGGATAATCAATGCCGGGATAGTCCGGCAAGATCTCGAAGATAGAGCGGAATGGAATAAGAGAATCGAGGAAACCAAAGCGCATCGATATGAAAAAAAAGTGTGGTTCGGGCGTGATTGGGCCTAAGAGATGGGCGCTTGGGGTTGACCTGGATTTGGTTGACCAAAGGTGATCCGGTTGGCATCATTTTGTGCCCCACGACGTTGACCCTGTCCACGACCACGGTAAGAACCGCGTCCCCGATTATTGTAGTATTGGCCCTGCTGTTGGCCCTGTTGTTGGCCATGCTGTTGGCTATGCTGTTGACCGTGCTGTTGGATTTGCGGTTGGCCATTGTGATTGTTCCGGCGAGGTTGACGGTCTCCGTTCATGTTCACGGATCCAGCTCCAGTCTGGGGTGGAGGGTTGGAGATCGGCCGAGGAATGTTCTCGGGAGAATCATAGACATAAAGCTTCTTGTCAATATTTTGAGGGATGGGTTGGATTTCAGTGCCCAGTTCTTGCTCAATCTTGTACAGATTGAACCGATCCTCCCAGTTGATGAGGTTAATGGCGAGACCCAGGTGTCCGAAACGACCTGAACGACCGATACGGTGAAGATAGGTCTCCGCGTTCTTCGGGAAATCAAAGTTGATCACAACGTTGACTGCTTGAATATCGATACCGCGAGTCAACAGGTCAGAGCAAACCAAGTTGCGGCATACGCCGTTGCGGAAGTCATGGAAGACTCGGTTACGGTGCTGCTGAAGCATCCGAGCATGAGAGTAAAAGCACGAGTAGCCGAGTTCGGTGATCTTTTTGGCCAGAAGCTCAACCCGGTTGGTTGAGTTGCAGAAAATGATCGACTGGTTGATCTGAAGCTTGGAGAAAAGAGTGTTCAAGCAATGAACCTTTTGCTTCTCCTCGACGAAAGCATAGTATTGGGTGATACCGCGTAGGGTAAGTTCGTCCATAAGGTTGATCTCGTAAGGGTTGCGCATGTGCTTGTCCTTGAATGACTTGACAATCAAAGGGAAAGTGGCACTGAAGAGCATGACCTGGCGGTCCTTGGGGTGGAAGGACATAAGTTGCTCAATGACAGGAGTGAACTCAGGAGACAGCAATTTGTCTGCTTCATCCATCACAAATGTCGGGCATTCGGCCAAGTCGGCGACGCCTTTGCTAGCCAAATCTAGTACTCGTCCGGGGGTTCCCACAAGAATGTGAACAGGGTCATTCAGCCGGATAATGTCGTCCATCAAACCAGTTCCACCAGTGGTGACCATGACATTGATACCGAGGTGTTTGCCTAGGGTCTTGCAGACCTGTGATGTCTGGAGGGCGAGCTCTCGTGTGGGGACCAG